GTGGAGGTGGTAGAGGTGATTTGGAGGCGCTGTAGAAAAGAAAGTGGGAACACAAGAAGTAAGTGGACAGACTGGGTTTGCAGGCTGGAGAATAGACTGAGCAGCAACTGGAAATTAGAGGAAGAGAACGGGAAAGGGGAAAAAGTTCCAGGAAATGAGGTGCTCGAAGTGGGTAGAAATAGGAATGAGAAGAAAATGGGTGGCACACTGGAGACTAAGATGGGAAGATGAAAGAGATGCAGAGTGAGGGAGCGAGGGGCCAGAGCCAGCGTGGACCCTGCATAGCCTCCCGCCTCGTGGTCCCCAGGATGATGCTGACGTGGAGTGGAAGTTTGCTCGCTCCAAGCTCTACTTGTCCTACTTCCGAGAGGGCTTGACGCTGCCTGTGCCCTTCAACATCCTGCCCTCCCCGAAGGCTGCCTTCTACCTGGTCAGGTGAGGCCCCACCGAGCTCCTGCCCCGCTTTCCCAGGCCTTGCCCCGTCTCACTTCTTTTCCCCATGGTAATTTCTCAGGAGAATTTTCTGGTTCCTTTGCTGTTGCTCCTCCTGCTGCAAAGCCAAGAAGTCGGATTACCCCGCCATCCCTACCTTTGTGAGTACCTTCTCAGCCTGTTGTTGTTACCCCGCCATCCCCGCCTCTGTGAGTACCTTCTCAGCCTGTTGTTTCCTTGCCTGTGTTACCTAAGCCATCGTGTGTACCCAGAGAGCCTGCTCCCAATTCCCATTCTCTCCCATGGCCTCCATGTTCATCTTCCTGGTCTGACTGAGTCCAGCATTTCCAGTCCCACAGCCTGCGGTCTGAACACGAGGCCATGCCACCCCCGTCCCGAGTCCCAGACGACCGAGGAATGGGAGGTTCACAGAGGCAGAAAGAGGCAGCCTGCCCGTCTGAGCACGAGAACCTTTCTATTTTGGACTATCACTGCCAGTTCTGCAGGGGTCTTTCCTTCTCACGCTGCTCCCAGCTCTCAGCCTTCACCACACACTCCTGGCACCCTGTCCGCTCACAGTCCCTACATGGCTTCTGTCTGTCCTCCAGGACTGCTCTGTAAGAGGCAGACCAGGGACAGAAAGCTTGCATAGACTTTGCCTTTCTCCTTTATTCTTGGTCAAGAGAGAGGTTGAAGGAAAGTGGAGAATTCACTCGTCTTCCATTGCAGGCCAACCCTGGGGCAAGGGAAGGGCCTGGAGAAGGGGAGCGCGGGTCTTACCGCCTTCGCGTCATCAAGGCTCTGGTGCAGCGCTACATCGAGACTGCCCGGCGCGAGTTCGAGGAGACCCGCAGAAAAGGTCACTTGCCCACCTCTAACCATTCCCCATCGCTGTTTCTGCCTTTGCTGGGAAGAGGGCCTCACACCCAGACGCGCCCCCTCACTCAGTTACCTTAGGGTTCACTCCTGTCCTCTCTGCCCGCGAAAGCCACAGCTTGCCTAGCTAGCTCCTTGACTCAGTTACTCTGCCTTTGTTTACATGACGATATTCCATCTCCCCACTTCCCCCTTCCCTTCCCTTCCTGGTTTCCCAGACTGGTCTTGAGCTCACTTTGAAACCTAGGCTGGCTCTGAACTCTCCATCTTTCCTCCATCTCCCGACTAGAGGGGCTTACAGGCCGATGCCCAGCTCAGCTAAAAGCTTTCCTCCTTTGTCGCTGCCCTTCCATCGCTGCCCACAGCTCTTCTACCCTCCTGACCCTTCAAGTCTTACAGTCCTCCTTTAGGATCCAGACAGGGTGTCCCAGGCTCAGTAGGGTGGGATGGGGTAGACAGAAGAGGTGCTGATAGGCTCACCTTCTGAAAGAGCTCCCTGCCCCCACCCATCTCAGACCTGGGCACCAGACTGACAGAGCTCACCAAGACTGTGTCTCGACTGCAAAGCGAGGTGGTCAGTGTGCAGAAGACTCTGGCAGCAGGTGGGGCACCACGGCCTCCCGATGGCGCCAGCATCCTCAGTCGCTACATCACCCGCGTGCGCAACAGCTTCCAGAATCTGGGTCCCCCCACCCCTGAGACCCCAGCAGAGCTAACCATGCCAGGGATTGTGGAAACTGAGGTCTCTTTAGGAGCTGGCCTTGATGCTATAGGAAAGGGGGAGACTCCAGCATCGGGAGAGTCCAGCCACGCCTCCCCTGCTCATGTGTTGGTGCACAGGGAACAAGAAGCAGAGGGGGCAGGGGACCTGCCCCTGGAGGAAGGTCTGGAGACCAAGGGTGAGTCCTAATACAAGCAGGGTCTCTTCTGTCACCAAATGTAGCAGCCTTGCTGTGTAGGCATGGGTCTTGTAACAGAAGACCGTGATGTTTCTTTGCCTTGGTAAACTTTCTGCTATGCAAGTCAGGTAACAGTCACCATCTCTTGATGTCCTAAGATCCTTCTTTTCCTTCCCCCTAAAATAGACCCTATGTGAGAAGGGCAGAGAGAAACAGCTTGCTTTGGGAGCTGGGGTTTAGAATCCTACTTTGGAATTCCTTAGGTATTTAGTGAGAAGAGTTCTGGCCTAGGAGGCTGGAGGCCTGGGAGGTGAAAGACCAGAGAAACAGGAGACCTGAATGTTGGGGGGCCTCAGAGTAGGCGGGGGCTGGGAGTAGGGAAGTCTGGGAGCCCATGTATTCTGCCTTAAAGGTAGCTGTGAGGCCCCCCTGTGTTAAAAAGCTCCAGGTGCAGAGGTTAAAGTCTGTGACTAGAAGGATCAGGAAGTTAGTTTTCAGTCCCTGACTTTCAAGTCTGCCAAGGACAAATGGTCTCACGAAATAAACCAGTCATAAAAGCCTAAAAGCCCACATGTATAACACAGCTCCATTTAATTGAGTAGCCATCCAGTCTTGACCTTGCACGTCCTAGGAAGTGGGGTTCCCTCAGCCTTGCCATGGCCTCGGGTCTCCAACCCTGATTGGAGAAGTGGCCTCTAGGCCTAGAACCAGATCCACACTCTTGCATCTTGAGGCCACTCAAAGCTTCTTCTTCATAGAAAGGTCATCAGTTCCCAGGATTCCTAAGGGACTTTCAGGGACCAGCGCTCAAGAGCTGCAACTCCCCAGGGGCCAAGAGCAGCGTCTTCCCTGATTGAAGAGCCAAGGCCTCTGTGGAGGATAACTCTGGCTGCCCTACTGCTAGAGGAAGAAGAAAGGAAGGTGAGGTGGGCAGCGTGGCTGGGAAGCAGGAGCAGCTCAAGGCAGCCTCGAGGATGACTTACTTACCTGCAGAGGACACACAGCCATGCCTCTTCTCCCCTGCAACAGACAGCGGAGTGAGGCCCTGGGGCCACCCACACCCCAGGCGGCCCAGGTAAACTTGCCAGCCTGCCAATCCATCCTTGCTCCTCCCACCCTCCCATCACTCTCCACTCCATTCCTGCCTCCCAGCTGGAGGCAGTATGGCCTCCTTCACTCACTTCCTTGATCTATTGGGTAGCACAGATCGACCCTTTAGAGAAGACAGTCATCTGAGAATGTCCACACATCTTGAAACTCTCACAGGACCTGGCAGAACCTCAGTCTAACTAGCCAAATGAGTCTCTTGAAGGCTGGCTCTCAGAACTAGGTCAGGGCATGCTGGCTTCTTTCACCCACCCTGCCATTCTCTGTCTCCCATGCATCGCTCACCACCCAAATAGGCGCAGTTAAAGTGGCTGCAGGTCTGATTATAACTCCAGAGAGTTACTGTGCTCTGGGCTCCATCCTGGAAGAACCCAGTGACCAAGAAGACTTCATGTGGTGGTATCAGCACCTCACGCTCCTCAGGGAAGACAGACAAAGCCTGGATAAGAGCCCCAAAACAAGTCCTTAGATTGAAGAAAGTGGCATTACCAAACCCACGAGCCACGGTTTCATCCAGAGAGCTGGAGGCAAACTGTCCTAATCGGACCAAGTCCCCCAGCCTCTTGGGTTCAAAGTGAAGGCTGCCCACGCCTCGGAATACCACCTCCCCATCTCCCCTACTGCAGCCACCAGTGCCCTGCAGCAGCTGCAGGGCCTGGGTGAGGTAGAAATGCAGGGCCTTAAAGGGGAAGTGCCTCATGTAGAGGTCCCGGGAGCCACCCCCTGTCCGCACAGCCTGGTTCAGCTCCCAGTACAAGGTGTTGGATGAGTTGGTGTACACCATAATAGCTATTCCATGCTGGGCTTTGAAGCCAGGAGGTAGAGTGAGCATGCGGCGCCGGTGTGCCCAGGCCTCTTGGGCTGCTTCCCAGGATTCCCGTAGCAGGACGTGGCGTGCCATCTCCTCCTCCAGCAGCAGGCCTGCTCTCTCCTCCATCTCCTCAGAGCAGCCCACATAGGCATCATCGAATGTGTCTGGAACCAGGCTCAGGGGCAGGATAGGAACAGCTTGGACCTGTGGACATACAGGAGACACCATATAGGAAGAGTGTAAGTTTAGAACACTGGCCAGGGGTCCTAGTGGCAGATCGGTTCACAATCACAAGTTTTCATTTCTGTGCTCAAACATCTGAGGCATGCAATTGACAGATCCCAAGTGGCAGAAATAACACAGGCGGTGGAGCCAGACAGACATGAATTTAAACACTACCTGCTAGGCTAGCTTTGGAATCTTGAACAATTCTCAGGACAGGGCTTTCCTAGACTTCACATTTTCCTAAGAATTACAGGTACTTCCAACCTCCCACGGTTATTGTGAGAAGAGCTTAAAGATCACCGTGGCACAACCTAAACAGCATCATCTCATCTTCAGAGGCGAGTCTGGTTGGTTCCTGTGTTTTCCTGATTCTGATAGTTTGCAGGCAATAAACTGCTGCCAGTGTCTGATCCCTGTCCTGGTTCTCATCCTCCCCGTGGGGAAACCCTTCTGCCAGCTCTGAGAACTGCATGCTCTCCCGCTTTAGAAGACGTTATTCTAAACTCAAGGTGGGCTGGGTGTCAGGGTCTGCCAGGGCCTGCAGCAGCACATTGGTCGGTGCAGGGTTTTGCCCGTGCTAAGCCTGTGGTGTGAGATGAGAGGAAGGGGGAAAGAGAAAGCTGAAGGCAACAAGGACGTGGAGTTCTGGGAGAGAGATCAGGCACTTGGGCCCCCCTGAAGGGAACAAAAGATCCCGAGAGGAGAACTGGAAGCAGCAAAAATTCTCCTAGGAGGTTTTCTTGACCGTTTCCTACCACCACCTTCTCAGCATCTGACCCACAACTGACCCTTGTTGGGACCCTTGTTGTCCTATGAGTTACCTTCCAGACGGAGTGTAGACTGAGGCAACTGAGGACCATCAACAGATCCTCCAGAATCATCCTCGGAGGAGTCCCGGGATGGCAGGATCCGGGGATGATGATGAAGGCAGCAGAGGCGGAATGCGGGCTTGGTTGGGCTCCAAGACCTTCCTCCCGCACCCGAGGGTCCTCAGGAGTGATGTAGGGCGGGGTCAAGGACAAATCTAAGGGTGGGCAGGGATTTGGATTTTACCGTCCCCATTTCAAGCCCTAATCTATAACTACCAGATGGCCCCTCACTCAGGCTCTTCCGGACTTCTTGCAATGGTATAGGTGGGGCAGTTATGTGGCTCCGCCTGGTGAGGGGCGGAGCGGGGACGAGAACCCACCTGGAGGTGGCGAAGGCCTGGAAAGACCCGGGGCTCTGGTCTTTTGCGGCAGGCTAGGGCTGAAGTTCGAGCAGGCGCTGCGCAGATGCCGGACTGCTGAACAAAGTCCCTGAAGCTAACTATAGCCCCTGGACTGGTAACCCGACACTTATCTTCCCCAACAACAGACAGGGGCGTGGGAGCTGGTCTGGCAGAGCCCTTAGAGTGGCTGAGGGGCAAAACTTTCCTTCCCTTGGATGACAGGTTGTTTTTGTAAGATGTGAGCTAGCTCAAGTTTGGAGGAGGGACTTGTGAGACTTGGCATTTTCTCCGGTGGCCCTGGGACCGGGCCAGGGCCAGGACCCAGGACCACCAGGCCACGAAGGCCCACGAGGGTCGCTACTTATACATCATGATACTTAAGTCGCCAAATCTCTTATTTGCATACAATTTGCATATGACACACACGTTGGATCACGTGCACCAGCATCAAAGCCCACATCCCCACTTTCTTCCCTACTCTTAACCCTCTATCTCCCAACTCTGGTCTGTAGGGAAGGGTAGAAGAGAACCCTAGCTGCCTTCTGGGCCTCTCCGATTCAGGTGACCCCATGTTTGTAAACACAGTTGTCTCTCGCACCTCCGCTGAGCTTGACTATAAATAACTAGTTCTGACTTTCAGACGCCCAGTTGGAGGTAATGGGAGAAGGGGCCAGTTTATGGGAAGATGGAGGACTTAGAGATGCCACCTGCTGGGCCAGGGTAAGCACGACCTGTGAAGCCTGCCAAGGGCCTCTGGTCCAGCTCGCGAGTTTACCCATCACTATCCCTTCTCTGCCAAATAAAGTTTCCTTTGCTTAAAAGCCTGTCCTCCTCCATTCCTTCCCGATGACTGTGTCCATGCCGCAGGGAGGCTGGGTTAGGAAGTGGAAGAGAACTGATCCTTGCCTACCCACCCCATCCTCCCTCTCTGCAGGGACAGCAAAGGCTGTGCAGTGACATCCTCTGGCTTGGGGAATTTCTTACGCCCCAATATCTGGAGCCCCTACAAGGCCCCAAGAAGTGAAGTCAAATCTGATAAGGGCCAGGGGTCCTGAGAGGGCAGAAAGGCCTCCCAGGTCACATGATGGGTCAGGGATCCAGCTGGAACCTAAGCTCCCAGAACAGAACAAAGCTTGAGATGGTCGTATGTGCCAATAATTCCAGCATTCAGGAGGGAGGCAGAGGTAAAAGGATGGCTTCGAGTTCGAGGCAAGCCTGGACATTGTAAAAAGAAAGCAATAATAGTAATAGAAAAAAAATAAAAGGAGATGCCTTTTAACTGACCAGAGTACAGTCTGGCGAGGAGACTGCTGTCCTGTCCCCTCAGCACCCCCAGGGCTCCCGTCTGCCTCCAGTAACTCTCATTGTCATGGGAAGAATGTTGGCCCAGGTCACATTGGGCAGAGGCTAATGTTCCTGAGCCTTGAGGAGACAGCTTGAAATAGACAGGGGGTGTCACATTTCTGAGCAGCTCTGTGGGGGAAGCAGGAGGGGTAGGGAACTGACAGTATAAAGAGAAAGCCACCTCCCTGCCTCTCTGTCACAGGAGACCAGGCCCGCTTTGCCCACCATGGAGAAGGCTAGGTAAGGGACATCTCACTTCCCGCAGAGGGCGCAGGGAAGGAACTTTTTGATATAAAAGTTAGGAGGGATTGGTGAAGTTTTAGGGAGCTGTGGGTGAAATGGTTGAGGACACCTAGGAAGGTTTGGGATTTTAAGAAGTGACTTGGGGTGATAGTCCCAAAAGGAACTTCTGAGTGAGGAAGAGGGAACCTGGGGGCTGTG